TGAGATGGTAAATTCTTCACGAAATATTAGAAGCAAGAATAATTAATCTTCCTTTCTTTCCTGGAAAAATAACGAATGACTAATGCCATCTTTTAAACATGTTTAAATACATTTAGAGAATCAATATGTTCATCAATCTCTGAAAGCTATAAATTATGCAATATAACTTGTTGTGTGAAAAAGACATGCAATTAACGCAGTGGATTTTTTTTATAGATTGAATATTTTGCATAATCTGTAAGTTTTGAAAATTAATAGATGATATATTGATTTGCAGTCTCGGTATTTTACGTCTCCAATCTTTTCGCGTTTCGATTATTAAAGCCGAATGGCACGAACGCGCGTCATTATGTATTAAGCCGCTGCGCATCCGGCCTAAAGTAGTTGGCCGACTCCTGGTACTCGTAATTATGATCCTCGAGTTCCAGAATCCGACCCAACGATTTTATTCGATCTTCGTTCTTTGTTTCGACATCGACGCTCGAGGGGAAGAGATAAAGTTTTATACCGTTGGTATTGTCAGGAACAAAGGGACTTGCAATGAATTTGCGACGGACTTGCGACTTTGTAACGATTTTAAATGATATTAACGGAAGAAAAGTTATAAGAACTAAAGCGCGGATGCAAGCAAAAAGAATACATTATTTTTGTTTTAAATAAAGAAATTTGTTGCGTTCCGACATCTGTCAGCAATTTCGAAAAAGTCTGAAATTGAAATTTGAATATTTATCTTCATTTAAAAAAATCGGAAACTTAAACTGCAACTTCGTAGAAGCCACCCTTGCAGGAGGATGAAGCACTGTCTCAGAAATTTTTTTCTATAATCTTTATTATTTTCCTGTCTGTTCCTAACAGGAATTTACTCAGAAATTTGTTGGATGTGAGATACAATTTTGCTATTTTATTGTATAAATTTGTGACAGTATTTTATCTTTTTGTGAGAGTAGTTTTCACGAAAATACACTTTAAGTTTTCCTTTAGACTTTTTCGAAGTTACTAGCACGTCTGATTTATGCGTTACGAATTTATGAATATGGCTAAAAACACGTTTTTTTAAACCCTTATTTTTTTGGAGGTCTGACATAATGGACAGTTTTTGAAATCAGGTTCATATTCAGCACACCTGATTTACTAAAGAATGACCGTTCGTGACAAAAGTGCAAAATCTTGTAACATAGTATTATCATGCTTTGATCGTATTTACAATATCGAAGAATTTTTAGAATGTGACAACATTTAATACTTTAGTTTTCACTTGTTCCCTTATTTTGTCTCAATATTCACAATCCACATCGTATACATTAATTTGTGAACGATGATTTTCGATAATTTCAATTTTAGACGGATTTATGCCTAATTATTACATTATTGTTTTCTAAGAGAATTGCACTGATGTGAAAGTGACGATTAGTATGTTACATTTTGATCTTCCAGCAAATAGTTATAATTTTCTTAATTATTTTCGTAAACGAGAAAGCGAGAGAGAGAAAGAAGTAGTGAAAGAAGGAAAAAAAAATGTAATCGCAACACTAGCCGCACCTCGAGAATAACGCGCAGGATGGTTCAGGTAATACGATCATCTAGAACTCATCATCGTTTCGTTCCTCCACTTATGTTGGGCTCTTAGCTTAGGTGGAGATTGATTCAAGCTTTGGGAAGCGGACTGGACGATGCCGGTTAAGCGCATGGTCATCGCGCACGGTTGAGACGAAATCGGAGGAGTGGGTCCATACAAGCCGCGTAGCTCGGGAGCTCGTCATTATATTCACATTATAATCTCATCAGGATACTCCTATGTTTAGGCAGACAGCTACGAAAATATGTGGTCTATACTTCTCTCTGCTCTGCCTTGTCCTACCTCCATTGTACATCTTCCTGCCTCATTGTTTAAAAAATTCAATCGAATTAGATAGAAAAATTTGATATAATTTTTGATTCCGCTTTTGTCATTAATATACATACGAATTGTTCGCTCACAATTTTAATTTTTTTAATAAAAAATTTAAATTATATTTTGAATATTCCCTATTTGTTTTTTTATAATAAATTTATAATTACTTGAATGTTGATAATTTTCAAATATAGATGTTGAATATTTTTGTTCGTATTTGAATAAAATTATCTTATTATTAATTTTTGTACAATTTAAGCTAAACTTAGACGAAATCAAAAGTTAGGCAAGTTTGGAAGAAAGAAAAGACATATTAGTTATTCAATCTTTAGATTTTCGCAAAGACGAAGTCTCGTGCGAAAAAGTTTCATTTTGCATTTCTCACTTATCTTTTCACGTGGAATTCACTTTCCCGGTTATATCGTCAGTAACACATGATGGTTTTGCGGTACCACGTAGCACATGGAGAATGACGATCAAGGCGCGCGCCTCGATCCTGCGCGTTTCCCTTGTCATTGCTTATACGCGGCGCGATGTGCCGGTGAAAGCCACCGACGATAACCTACCTACTCCGATGCGCGCGAGCAATTGCAGCTGGTGGCTCGCGAAGGAGAAGGAATCCCAGTTACACGCGCGAGTGCACGCAGCTATATACAATACTCGCGAGAAAATACTCGCGAAATAACGCGCGCGCCGGTTTACTTCCGTCGCTGGCACGCGGCACGCGGTCGCGGCGAGGCGGGAGAGGCGGTGAACAGCGGGAGGATATGGCGAAAAGGTCGAAGAAGGATGAAGAGAAAAGGTAAAAGGAGACGTGGCGTGATTAGAGAGAAGGAAAAGCGGACGGAGGAGAATAGATGACTCTTCGCACACAGCTGCTTCCAGTTTCCTTCCTCTTTCTTCTCTCGCTCGGCCCTCCTCTCCAGCAGTCTCCCTCTTTCCTTTTCCGCCCTCTTTCTTCCACTCCGACTCCCATCCTCTTCAACATCATCTCGTTTCCTTTATATATCCCTCTTTCTTTCTCTCCTTTCCGCTCTCTCCATCTCATTTCGTCTCTCGCTTCCTCCTTCTGTACGGCCGATTCTTCGTATTATACCAGGTTGCGGCGTGGAATGCGGGCGTCCTTCGTCCGCTTCGAGCAGCGCGTCCAACCGATGAGCCCCGCTAGCGTTATCCTTCGCCGGTCCTTCGCATGCGCTCCTTAGGGCTCGGTAAAATTAACCTGGAACACTCGCTTGAGAGAAACTCGCCCGTCCCACTCTCCTCCTCGCCACGCTTTCGTCAAATCTGCTGACACGCTCTTTCAGATTTATTGTCGGTGAAATTAGTGCCAGTTATTCAAGTATGGCGATTAGAAATGTCCGATTTAAGAAGTAAAACCAACATAAATGTTTCGGGATTAATTAGTCACAAATGTGTCATTATCATATCAAATTGCCGATTATTTTGTCGGCAAAATCATCTTGAAAGAATAATGTGGAAGAAAGATATACACAACTTTATTTTCTGGAGATATATCTTCAGAAAAAACACATACGTTATATCTGAAGAGATATAGTCACTAATTTCGTGTCTGACTGTAATTAAGAGACAAGCAATAAGTTACAACTTTTTACACGTCCACAATTTTATATTTAAAATTTATCGTAGAGAATACGTAATTATTTTCTTATTCGATAAATTTCGAATTTTTCTATCATAGATTATTTACTCTTACAATATTTACTGCATTTTTATCAAAATACTCGATACAATACTCGTTTACAATGCTAAGTGAATAAATTTTGTTTTTTGGTTATCTGCACACTTTAAAACAGTGATTTTGATGAAAATTAATTTACATTTAATACAACTGCTTACATTAAATACAGAAATGTGTAATGATTATGAAAGAGTCACGCTTTAAGACATACAACATACATTTTACTCCAGTTACTCCAGTTATATTGTGTTTCTGTAAATAAAAATTGTTTCTCTCTTAATAAACATTTGTTGTGTCGAAAACAACGGATATGTCACTTAAAATTTACGCGTTTACAGTGTAAAAAATAATGCAACATTATTTCTTTCTTTTTTTGACATTATCATTAAAAATATTGTATTTATACAAAATAAGGAGATTAATTTTTTACGAAAACGTCTAAAAAAGTATGACATTTGACTTGAATAACAGTAACTGTGCGTGCGAATGCTGGGCAAATAATTTAGTGTGTCAAAATTAACGATTTACAACACTTTACGCAATAATTTAAAGAAATGGAATATCTGTATTCGATTTATGCCGCGTGCGCTAACAGAAAATCAATAGATCATCGCGAGACATCATTAAAACAAAACTCCCAATTCTATCGCAATCGGTGACGAAACGGTGGTTTTAATATGATCCATAATCTAAATGCTAAACTAAGCTGAATGAAAATCAGAGAGCAAAGATAAAAAAATTGCAAAAATCACGAATCAAGATGATGACCTTTTTTTTAATAATTCCAAGGATATTATTTTTTTCGGGAATCTGATCTAAAGTATCACACGATCAACAGTGATTACTATTTTGGTGTTTTGGAGTGTTTATGATGACAGCTGGGAAGCTGACTTTTTTGCACGACAGTGCACCTGCATATCGTATCGCGATGGTATGTGAATTCATTAAAAAAAAACAAATTTGTAGCGATTTATCTCTTGCTGCATCCACCTGTTTCGACTACCTGCGATCACTTTCTATTCCCAAAAATTTAAAATTCCAGTGAAAGAGACTCGTGCTGTAATATCCCAGCCATTCAAGCAGCTGTGACAAGGATCTTTCTTCAAAAATATATTTGTACGTTGATTGCCCGTGCCGAACGTATCGAGGGAACATACTTTGAATAAAACAAATGCTTTTACATATATCGGCGTTTAAATTGATGTAGCGTCAATCCCGTTGTTTTTCAGACATACTGTGTATATAAATTAGCAAAGAAGGTACAGCTGAAGGTACAGCTGGTATACTAAACACACTTTACAATAAAGAAAACATTTCTCTGAATAATGGAATTGAGATAACATAAACTTACAAAATTATTACGGTCGAAATGACATGATTAATTTTATGCATATATGCGTGTTGCAGGTGGATCCGTGAAGTTGCAGGCGGAGGATTCAGGGGAAGGGGGAATCTAGGTAAGTTTTTCTTTCCTTATACTTTTCAACGACTCGTAAAATAATTTTTCTTATAGAATGTTAATATAATAAATAAAATAAATACGATACACGTGTGTCGCATGAACAAAATTTCTGAAGTAAGGCATAGATAAAATATTAATTAAAGGATAAAAAAATTAATTTATTATTTTCATGGTATTAATAAACATTTGTAAGAAAGGGGAATTAATTTTGATACGGTAATCTTTTAAATTACAGAGAACTATTTTAAATACAAAGAAAACTAAATTAAAAATTTCTCAGTATGGAAAATTATCTTTATTTTTATCGAGCGAAAATTTTGAAAACTTATTTACCGTCCTATAGCTTTGGAATTTTTAAGCCAAGGGCATTATTTTACACGTATCATTTCTTCTGAATGCATGCTGCAGCAGCTGCATTCTTATTGAATCGTGAAAGACAGAGCGCACCTAATATTCTTACTTGCTTATTATTTACACATTTCAGTGCAGTAATTTATCTGGCTTGCTTTAATGTTCTGAACGCGAATGTTTCACGCTATCTTGCGCAGCATAAAGTTTGGATTCTCACCGCTTTGCTCAGGTATGTGCGTGCCCTCACGCATGCCTATAAACGTAACTCAAACAATACACCGAGTGTATGCCAAGTATTTGCCTCGTGTTTTCTTGAATTCACTAAATATCACGCAAGTACACAATAATCACTATGTAAATAATATTAAAGCTATAACGAAGGGAAGTATATCACGCGCGATATTCCATTGCTCTCAGCCGAGCTCGACGCCTGTGCGAGACTCGATGCCGGGAGAAAGATTTGTTTCGTGCGAAGAATGCACGGCATTATAATGAGAGCGCGAGTTACGGCGATATGCGATACCGCAACTCAGTAATTTCATTTAATTGCCGGGAACGTTAGACGAGTCACATCCGCAATCGTATATGTCTTGCAGTGTTCCGCGAGTGCATTGCGATACCGTGACTTGTATACATTTAATCCCGATTTTTAATCCCGATCTTAATCGAACAGCCATTATCTTATAAGATAGATATGTCACGATATGAAGATATGCCATGTGAATAAAAATATTACTAGAATTTGTTAATTTTGCCTCAAGTCGTGTGTTTGCTACAGAAACTTTATGTTTATTAGATTAATTTCGAACAAATTCCTTTTAGATTTAAAATTTTTCTACTGAAACAATTTAGTTCATTAAAATTTGATTCAGTTAAAATGAAACATCGAAAACTCATTAACACTTGTGTTCTTATTTCTAATTCATTTTTCAAAATGTTGTAAGCAAATTTCTAGATGAACTAATTTAACGATAACTTAATTAAAGTTAAATGACCAAAGAAATAACAATTCGAGTTTCGATATTGGAACTATTTTAATATCATCGAATTGTTTTTCATACCAGTCTTAGAATTGTTTTTATTCTAACTACGCGAATACATGCGAAAAAATATGGCAGTAATGCCAGCACATTCGTGCAACGTTTTTTTTTTTACTTTTAGTTCGAATTGACTCGTATAATCTCCAAACGTGATTACACCGTGATTATAGTGGATCGATCTTAATTTAAACCGAGCGATAAAAATGAAGGATGCATTCCTGCGAGAGGCGCACAAAACCGGTAGCCACTTCGCCGCAACGTGGCGTCTTCGAGCGTTGTCGATTATTTTCTCATTCCCGTTGTTCGCCCGACTGCACAAAGTTTTCTTTTTTAATCGCGTGTTTCTAATCCTCATCGAAATGCATACTCTTGACTCGAAAGCAACTTATGACCGCCGATGAAAGAAATAGAAAAACGGACTGAAAAAATCGAACGACTTTTTACGAGCACCGTTTTACACGAGCAAAAATTTCTCGATTTACTGCGCAAAATGCAGTCCGCTGCGCGATTTATATTGAAATGATATTCGGCACTGTAAAAAATGATTATTTGCAAATAGTATAAAAGGAAACGCCTTATTTGATTAACACATGCGAATCGTGAGCGACCGTTTCGTTGGCACGTCAGCTTAAATATTAATCGAAGGAATAATCAATCATAAAATAATTGTGACGGTGAAATTTGAAACGTTTGGGTAGCTTCAATCAGCAAGATAATAGTCACATATGAAAAGATAATTCGAATAAGTGATTTTAGGAAGTTTTAAAATTTAAAAAAATATTTTTTTGTGCTTTTCTTTAACATAACGCAATATCATACAATTCAACTTTGCATCCAATACTGAAATTACGTTTGTGAAGAATATATTCTTATATCGCATATAATTAATTGTTGAGAATTCAAGGTTGTCCGATGCAGTTTGCACAGTTTCAAACATTTCTTGCAGTTTTTTTTTCTCTGTTCCATTTTGGATTTTCGAAATCGGCTATTTCGACCAGTAAGTGCGCGGCGTTATTTCCTTACGTAAGACCTGCATGACGCGGGTCATTGCTTGCGTTCGCTCTGTATGTCACCGTATGGCGCGCGCGCGCGCACACACCAGTCCGGCGGCATTCCATCGTGATTTGCGATCGTTTCGGTAAAGTGTACAGCTCGCACAGCTCGTAGTTCGCAGTGTTTACGTATCTGTATGTCGCGACAGCTGGCATTCCGCGGCTCACAATCAGTATGAAACTGCTCGATCTAGAAACATAAAAACATATTTGAACTAATTAAATTTTTGCATGTTCTAAACGCATAATGTATTTGGTTTTGTTTTGCGTTTAAAAAAAAGCGCAAAAACTGGCATAATCGACAAAGTGATTGAAAGAAATTTCTTATTTTTCGTAACATCTACTTTTATCGGTTAGATCGATAGTTGATTGACGCCGTCTATGTCGATTCAGTTAGCTGGTTGTAAAGGCAAAATTGAGTAGAAACATATTTTTTTAATGGCATATTAATTAGTCACACGTTATAAACAAATACTGATGTTTTTCTTGATTTACCTGTATCAGAGATATAAACTTTCAATATGTGCATTCTTATCGTTTCAATATTTATTAAATGCTATCGTATTTCGAAATTTATCAGCTTTTCTTCGTCTTTCCTCCATTTTTGCCACAATCGGACTCAGCAAAGTAGGATCGATTTCGATTAAGTCTTCCTTATAAATCCATCGTGTAATCCAGCTGGCGATCCATCCCGCGATCAAAGCGAAGCGGAATCCCAATGGACAATACCACATGTAGGAAATGCGATAAAGATAAAAATAAGATTCATTCTCCTCCGTGCTGCAATCAAGAAACATCTGTTAAAGTTCTCAATTTCCTTATTGAAGCTACATTAAGTTATCATGTCAGAAATCATGTGAATTCTTTTACAGTCATCGCTTCTATTCGCTAGATTGATGAATTCAATTCGTTTTAATATTGCATTATTAAATTAACATACAATTCAATCTGCATGTGTTCTTCAGAAAAAGTAATTTACAGCTACATATTAAGAGCAACAAGAATCTTTGGTCAATATACTACCAATCTGTAGTATAAAATATAAAATAAACAGTGATGTGCGAAGAAAAATAATTTAGTTTTATATGAATATAATGCGAGAAAAAAGTCACATCACTTCTCGCTTCTGAGATCTAATTATTATTTGCAGACTCAAAATGACGAGAAGAAATACTCGCTAATTATGTACGAGAAGAACTGCTAATTATGTTACTAGGAGAGAACGCTAATAATATAACGAGCGGCAAATTTGCTCACTGTTCGTAGCGTGAACTCGTATAAATTGATGATTCGCTATCACTTCCGCGATACATAATCATAGTGTCGTTGAATCCACAGCCGTCAGTCGAAACGCTCAATCGCGGAATCGGCGGTTTCGGTTGACCGAATCCCATCCACAAGGAGAACATAAGGCTAGAAATGAAGCCTATGATCGCGCCCTTCTGGTTGCACGACGGTAGGAACATGCCGAGCGTGTATAAACCCAACATAGGTCCGCCGACGACACCGAAGATCGTCAGAGCCGCCTGTAGAAAAAGAAAAGAATTTTCTTTATTATGAAGAACGTTCCCTTTGCGAAAATACCAAAGAAGCAAATTTTCGATATTTTCAACTTACACACATTTTTTAAATTAATTTTTAAATTAAATTGTATTTAAGCTGTCAGAAAAATTGAATAAAATGTTAAGTATAGAATTCTGAGAGAAAAGTAAATTACGAGATATGAAGAATCTTACAGCAAGCTATTTGTAAATGCCAAGATACAAAAATCTAATACATACGTTACATGAATTTTGCAGAATCAATTTAGTAGGAACTTAAAATGTTAAAATTAATTAATTTTTTTTGTCTGGCAAAGCGCAGTTTGATTAACACAAAGCTTAAATATTTCTTTGTCAATTACGATTTTTTTACGTTGCGTAAAAACGTGCTGCGTAAAGAATACGAAATTACTTATTACACAACCCAATAGATTTGCAATGTAGAAGAGATTTGCACTATGACTTTTTTGTGATATAAAGACTGCGGTAAGATTGTTGTGGACATCACAATGTATGGAATTAAATGGAATTTATGCAACCAAGAACCCATAAAATCTTCAGAACTCATTAATATTTGAGGAATCTAAAACTTAAAAAATGTGGAATTCTTGATGACTGGTTTAACTGTGTGTTCACTAAAGGGCTACCTGTAACAGTCCGCCGAGGTATCGTGCCAAAAAAGCGACAGCCAGGCACGCTAATCCAATTAGAAAAGCCAGAATTTTGCTAATGATTATCGATGTTGTCGGAGATAGCTCCTTCCCTCTGCAACCAATATTGTTCACTCTTTCGCGACGCATCACAATCGAACATACTTACATTTCCGTCGAAATACTATACATTGCATTATGTGCGCGAGCTTCGAAGAATTCAGACTACCTTGAAACCGGATTGTTTTCCGGGACGACTCTCTCATACCGCGCACGCATCTTTACGATCTTCGCGCTTTTACGACTCCTACCTTACACGCCAGAGAGGCTTGATATAATCTTCGAGAATAACAGCGGCGAGGGAATTAACCGTGGCCGAGATGGTGCTGAGCCCGGCGCTGAAGATTCCGGCCACGAAGAGCCCGGGAACACCGGGATAGTCCGACAGCGCGTCCATTACGTATAGCGGCATCAATTGATCGTTCGAGCTGATCCTGCCCTCCTCGAGCGGATCGCAGCTACGGTATTTCGCGTACATCGCTAGCCCGGAGAAGCACAGGGTGAGCGACATGATCGACGCCATCGGCCAGCTCCACCATAATGCGCGCTGAGCGGCCTGTAGATTTCTAATAAAATCAATACACGATGAAATAAATAGTGATCAATCAGTTCGAATCTCGAGTTTGGACGCTTCGAACTATTCGAATTCAAAAAAAGCTTCAAGTTCGGACAGTTTTAACAGAATATCGTGAACGATATTGATTTGTGTAAAGTTATGTAAAAACAAAAATTTTTTTACTGTTTGAACTTCATACTTTTTTTTTTAATCCAAACAGTTTGAACAAGTTTGAATCTTTTGTCTTATACCTGAAAATAAGGTATATTGAAACAGAAAGTTTCACAGCGATTTTACACTTGTCAGCCAAATGACAGAGACTGTGTCTCAGAGTTATCGAATTGATTCGAGAAGAATAGCCGATAACAGTAATGATCATTAATACTTGGGTTCTAAGAAAAAGAAAACCGCCAACAATGTTACAAGTTGAAATACCCGAGTAACGAATGTGTTAATTTTCATGCTCTGGTTGGCGTTTGTGTAAAAATACCGTAAAGCAAGGAACGTTCTTAAATAATTTTGTGTTTTGTAACGGTAAAAGGCACGTGAGAAGAAGAACGTAAAAAGACGAAACAATGGTTATTTCTGGCCTCAACCGATTGTAAATTAGTAGAATTTATTTTACCTGACGGTCAACATTCGCTGAACCTGAACTTGATTGACGCTGTATAAGGAAAGATAAGTGAAGAAACCACCAAATGTCAGACTCCACCAGGTGTGTCGTACAGTTGGGTCTGGAGAGATGCTGCAAAAAGTTGAAGTAAATGAATTCTATCTCTGCGCTCGTCGACAACATCATTTCATTAATTTTTAACGTTTAATATATTTTGATTATTTTTTCAAAAACAATTTGTTTCAAATTTCGTGTATGTTCCACCAATGTAATTCAGCAATGGAAATACACAGTACAAATGTCTAGAGAAGGACAGCTTTTAGTCCATCGACAATTACTTGTCAAACTCCAGTCGGGATCCCTCGTTGGCGATTTGCCAGATCCGGTCGAGGCCGCCGGTATTGACAGCCGCGGTGGCAATAACTGTGACAACGGCGATTAGCATTAATAGACTCTGAAAGATGTCGGTGACGAGAACCGCCTTGATGCCACCGATTGTCGAGTAGAAAGTACAGATCAGTCCTAGGCCGATTATGCTCGCGGTTGTTGACATACCCGTAGTGGCTTCTAAAGCCAGCGCTGGCGCATACAACACTACGCCGGTATAGCAGAGCAATTGGAGCAAAAAGGCAAAGCTGGCTATCAATCTGGTGGTCATGCCGAAACGCTTCTGCAGATACTGCAACGAATATTCACACGGCCGTGCTAAATTGATCTCGATTGAATCGATTTTATTATGCAATACTGCCGTCCAAAAATTCTACGAGTAATCCTCAAAAATTCACACATTCGAAGATACATTGTATTTTGTAAAAATATTTTTTAATATTTTATATATTTATACTCTAACTTTTCTTTCATTCCTGACAGACTCGCATAAAGTTTGGAATTAAAAGCCGAGACTACTCGAGCATAATTAACGCATCTTACCTCGAAGGCGCTTGTAGCGCCAAGTTTGAAAAACACCGGTAAATAAAAATAAGCTGCAACCGGCGTGGCGAGGCCGTAAGCGATGTTGATCACCGAGTATTGAGTACCGTAAATATAATTTTCGGAGCTCACTCCGAGTAGACTGACCGCTGATAAGTATGACACCATCAAACCTATCGCCACTGGGACCACTCGCATGGATTTGTTCGCTACGAAATATTCCTGCGAAAAATTATCGAACCAAATTCTGTTACAACAATTTAATCAAGAATTTAAAAATTATTTAAGTAAAACAGTGATGATAAGTAACACACTTTGGAAGATGAAGAACAATTTAATCACCTCAGTCGATTTTTGTCGGCCACCGGTGAACCAATAGTACACACCAACGCCGGAACTGGTCGCCATTAATACACCAATCACCACATAATCTGCTGCTACTAATGTAGCCATGTTGCTTGTCACACAAATCTCTTTCCACGTTTCTGGTGAAACTCGGCGCTGAAATTATTTATAGCGTATGACACTCTTTCGGCGCGTCCTTGAATTGATGTGTCATTAATCTTATTTTTTAAATAGTTCTACAATTTAGGTTTCACTGTCTCGCGATTTTTATAAAAATTGAAAACGGTTCATTCTTAATGTGGAACTTGTATGATAAATGTCGTTTCGTTGCACACTTATCGTTTATCACACGCTTATCGTTTATTGTGTACGCGTCGGGAACAAATCGTTTTATAATCTTCAGTGCGATCTAATCTCGCACATGTTTCGTTATCAAAGGATACATACTTGCTGTGTGATTATTTCCTGACGTCGCACGTCAGCGCGTTGACGTATGCATCGCTTTCAGTAAGGCTTGTCCTTTTTTATCGCAATTCTGCATTTTCGAGCCTCTGCTGAAATCTGTGTCTGCATATTTCAGATCTTATATAACGTTAAATTATTTCATTACGTAGAACAGAATTCAGCAATAATTTAATCCATCTAATATGATTGTTATTTTCTGCAATAATGATTATTTTACAGCGAATAAAGTACGTTGCTTTCTAAATTTTATCACAGAACAAGTGTATAAATAGAAATTTTATTTCTATGATATTAAAGATTGAAAGATAGATTGAGATAACACACAAGTATGCGTTATCTATGTTTTATCGCGAATTATTGTTATTAATTTTAAGCTTCTGCTGATACTTTTCTGAGACTTATATTCCTTTTGTATGATAAGATTTGTATAGGCATTTGAAGGAAATATTTTTATTTAAAAAAATATTTTTATTTTTCGGAAAACAGATTGACAAAGTTATTTTTAGAGTTTACTTGTAAGATGTAAATTCGCTGCATATTTTGCAAGTTACTGCTTTGTTTATTTTTCTCGTATTGTGTGCATTAGTTTAGAATATAAGATAAAACAGAAGAAACAAGGCATTATCGATAATTGGATATTCATGTGCGCGAGCACGAACGAAATCGCTGTCAAGGGAGAGCATAAAGTGAGGAGAGTACGCGAAACACGGTTACTCATGCCACTGGAATGTAGTTCACATTGTATATACACACCTCCTACGTGCATGCACGTCGTAGTTGGGCGGGCGTTCGACGATAAAGCCCGCGGCTGATTCTTTCTACACTCGAAAATATCGGCGAATATCTGCGAGTATTGGACGTGGTAATGTTACAATATACAGACTTGATTATTTATATGTAAATTACATACCGGTTTCCTCTTTTTGTTTTTGTTTTATGCTCTTTTTTCGCTTATGCTATATGCAGGATATAATCGAAGTTTAATCTAGTTTCTGTAAATTTTTCAAATCAAATACACAAAAAATTGTTCTCCATATTGGGCATATAATAAGTAATTTCGAATTTTCTTACAGGTAGTGTTGTTTTTTACGCAACACGTTTGAAAACTTGATTACAACTTCGACAAACGAATATTTCATTTACACGTTAATCAAACTGCACTTTGCCTGACGAATAAAGTAGACAGATTTATTGGAAAAATCCGAAATTACCGAAATCGCGATAGTGTTAACTGAATGGTGTTAGCAGGTCAAAACTTCTTGTTCTCAGCAATTTATTTCATTCTTGAATAAATTGTTGGCAAGACATTTTGAGCCTTACGAGTACAAAAAAGAAAACAATGCAGAATTTTGGAGGTCGTAACAAATATTTCCAATTATATTAAATTTATGTCACTTGTTTCTTTAATTCTGTCATCAAAGTACAGTATCGATTTTTGTAAAAATATTCTGTAATAAGTAAATTTGGATTTTTTAAATAAACCTGTCTACTTTTTTTTATCAGGCGAAGCGCAATTTGATTAACACGTAATATCAGTTTAATAAATTTTATTCTTCTATAACAAACTGTAATATGCATGAACGTCTGATTGTATTCTCATACAGCGTAATTCAGAAATATTTAGATTGATCATTTTCAAACAATGTTACTCTCGTCCATCGGTTATCGCCGAAATTATTGCTCGGCAGTGCGGACGGTTCGCTACACTGTGACGTCGAAAATGTTGGAGGGTGCACGACGAAGCGTGAAAATGTCGAAAGAGCGATTCCGCCGGGATAGCTCCTCCGTGATTTTCCCTCGCGCGCGGTGGCGCGGCGCGACGCGACCGGGTGCATGGGGTCGGTGATCGCGCTGAGAATGCTGCGCGGGGACGCGCACAGGTTGAACGGCTGCGAAATGCATCGGCTATCGGGGGCCTCCGGAGAGACCGCGAGGAAGAAGCGAGAATGAGGGGATCCGAGAGGAGAGATAGAAGAAGCGAGAGAGAGAGAGAGACAGAAAAGGTGGGAGAGACCGGCTTTTATAATGGTGTGGCAGTTATACCGGTAAGCGAGTAAATGCATCAACGTGCTGCGAGCCAAGAGAAGCATCCAGAAGAGAGAGAGAGAGAGAGAGAGAGGAGGGAGGGGAGGGGAGGGAGGAGA